GAAATTATAGCAATTATTCAGTGCCACATAGATAACGTTATGATAGTATCCGAGTACGAGTGTCATAAATCATCAGGAATTCTAATATATTGATAGATCCTCGATAAATATAGACCAGGTCTATATTATAATATTACAGCGATAGTCTTTCATTTAATATTCATAGCTATTATTATGATACTCCTGATAGTTATCAGGGCGCGGTGGTAATAATTGGATTTATTACTTTATTTAACTTCAGACATTATCGGATATTATAAATAATTAAGATTGAAATCAAAATCACGTAAATGTATCATCGGTGGAAAAATCAGGTACAACATTATTCTACATTAAACAACCTGGATGCGGAAACTGTGTAAATCATATTGCTCAACCGATCCCCCACCGGCTGTGACTATTGTAGCTTATTATCCTCTGGCATAGATTAACTATATATTGGGCCATCTACTATTAAAATAATTAACCTATGAGCTTTGTCTTGGGCTAAATGGATAATAACACGAAATAGAAATCGTATTTTACTTGGTCCTTAATTTTTATAAGGATATCAACATTTTTTTTTCCTCACTGCTGAAACAGCGCCTCCGCCGTGAGATTACTCTATACCATCAGTAGATTCTAGCTTAAGGTGACGGTTATCCTCGGTCACTGAACTACCGGAGCCTGCAACTCCAGACACACGAGTCAACGCACACAGGTGTGACTCTCGCAAGGACACGTGAGTATATCACCTCTGTCATTACACCATAGCAGGACTCTAGCTTAAGCATCGTACGGGTCCGAACGGGTGACCTAGGTGTCACCTCGCGTTCACTCGGACTAACCGGACGTCGGTTCTGCCCAATCCAGACACAAGTCCAGCGACACAGGTGCAGAACCACCGAGTGTAATATTTCAAGGGGAAAAGCTCTATAGGCCCGTAATATATTTATTCTGCCCAGCAATATTCTAACAAACCAAAACCTTTGTAACACAACATCCGTCATATATACATGCACATAAAGCCACCGATAGAGAGCATCGAGATGGAGAGAGACACAGAGAAAGAGAGGAGAGAGAGAGAGAGATGAGAGAGTGAAGAGGAGAGGAGAAAGAGAAGAGAGAGCATGAGGAGAGAGATTCGACGCTGAGAGGAGATGAGAGAGAGTTAGAGAGAGAAGAGCTCGAGAAAGAGAGAGAGAGTCTAAGAGCAGAGGAGAGCGTGAGAGGATGAGAGAGAAGAGAGAGATGTTTAGAGAGAGGAGAGCGAGAGAGAGAGAGAGAGAGAGAGTACGGAGTTAGAGAGAGAGAGCGCGAGGAGCAGAAGAGAGAGAGAGAGATGAGAAGACGTGGATGAAACGAGAGAGGAGAAAGAAAGAGAGTTAGAGTGGAGAGAGAGAGAGAGAGATGAGAGAGAGAGAGAGAGAGAGAGATGAAGAAGAGGAGAGACTAGAGAGAGCCAGATGACTCAGAGGGAGAGAGAGAGAGAGAGAGAGAGCAAGAGAGGGGTGTCGAAGACAGAAAGGAAGTGGGAGATAGAAAGGAAAAGGGGGAGGGTGAGATAAGGTGAGGGAAGAGCGAGAAGGCAGGAGAGAATATCGGGGAGGAGAAAGCAATGGCATCATTGCTAGAGAAACAGAATTCCGGAGTACCTTTTCAGTACTGAAATCCAGAGGTCGTTTCCAGCTGTCGACACAGAGTGACTTTGGTAGGATAACTAGCCCATCTGGATCTTCAAAAACATTACTCTGTGCCTATATTACCACACAAAAACAACCACATAACCACAGGTCCATATAACCACGCAACCATAGGTCCTGCTGGTAAAAATTTCCTATAAAATTTTACAAAAGGCACTTATGATTTACATATCACCTATGTACCCCCAATCTGTTTAACAATCCATTACTTTATACTCTATAATACCAAAATTGGATTTGCTGATAGGAGTAACTCCCTTAGAAGGGACACATTTACAAGAGCTTATCACAATCTATGCATGTACACTGATTCCCATATTTGGATGTACTGATGCTATTACTACGTATCTAACTCTATAGAGGATTAACATAGACGTACAGAACTCGTGTTCTTGTTCTTTCCTGCATCTTTGCCAGTTTTCACTCCTGCCACATCCTGAATTCATGACAAAACATGTTGCACCTCGAAATTCCAACTACAGACATTAGATGACTTCAGATTTTTATAAAAACGTTAGCAAAGGTAATATTAAATTCTGAGAGCAAGATTCAAGAGCACAATTTAAATCTATGATGCAAATGGTCATTTCTATTTCATATTGATTTTTAGAGATCTCCAACAAATCATGGTTAAAACTCTTAGGTTGGTTATGCATAATTGCAAACCCATTTTTCAGTGTTGAGATCAGCGTCATTCCATTCTGGCCAGATGGACAGCTTCTGGACTTGATACTGTCGCAACCCATCTTGCTGATGTTCAACTGACATGCTTCTCTCTGTAAACAAAATATTACTTATCAACAGAAAAACATGATATACGACTATATATAGTCTACGCTTGCCTATATTATTTGTCGATTCAACGTTTCGTATTGCTGGGATTTATTTGTCAACGTTGTTACCACACTAGTGTAATTCGACTTATGCATGTTCACAGCGAAACAGATACATGTACCAGTACTGATACTGTACTGGACATCATCTCTAGTATCCTTGAACCGTGTGATGCAAGCATGAATTGGGCAGGACTATCGGACTAGCAATACTACCAGTGACAGTGTAGTGTAACCACACCACCTGCCCTGATGATGCCTATCATCAGGGTTGTTGCTACTGTCAGTACTGATCGATCGATGGAGATGGCAAGTGTCCTGCCAGTGCCAACCCATCTCAGCAAACGGCTGTCACTAACTGTAACTCTAGTAGAGGAGTAGAGCTGTCACTGGCACTCGCTAAGCCAAAGCCAAAGAAACGCGAAGCAACGAACAAAAACAAGTACTATGGCAGTGAACCAGGCAGTGCCGCAGTGGCAGTGCCAGTGGCAGCAGTGGTGGCGGCGGCAGTAGTGTGGCGACTGCCACTGCCGTCGGAGTAGGCGTAGCTAGGCGACATACTCGCCGACACCTCGGGTACTACAATAGCACAATACGACAACGACCCCTTCAAGTTCACTCTTCACTCTTCAGCGCCACTGCCACTGTCAGTGTGTCACGACTGACACATTGTCATTCGATATGTAATAATGTTGATCATACTATTTTCCAACGGCGTCTTTGCAGTTACGCGTCTCGTAATTTCTCAAATTTTAGAGAGACCTACCTATTCTCTATTGAATGTTCTCGCGACACAGAACAGAACGCATGCCTTCATTGCCTTGTATGTATCCAATGTAAACATTGCAGATTGACGTATGCTGCCATCTATCGACTATACCGTATACGTATTAATATATTACGCATTTATTTATCAAATTTTGCAGTGAATTGCCAATACATAAGCTTTATACTTCAAACGAATTAACAAAAATTGTCTAATATGTACATGTATGTATATACATATATATATATATATACATATACACATACACACATATGACATGTAACAGTTGATGCACATTAGTCATTCAGAGAATATGAACTCAGAACAAGTTTTCCAGCATGTCACCGCTAGAGATATCCCGAAAGATTCATATAATAGGAACCAATTAATAAGAAAATGACGCAAAAGAATTGTAAAGAAGCCATGTCATATGAAATTCAGTCACGTGATTTATGTAAATTACTTATATCTGAAAAATTACAACTCAAAATCACTGTTACAGTAGGTATACCGTTTTAGACAAAATACTTGCATTATTATTGGGGTATTAGATCCACATTTGTGGTTATACTGCGTGAAAACCGAAAACAGAACTGAATATGCAGTGAAGAGGCTTCAGTGAACTTCAGTGAGGAACTAAAGTAAGATAGTGATGTTACAATAATACACATTGGCTTTGTATAAAGTACAGCAAAATTTCAAGCAAGCGCACATTTTCTACAAGCCTCCAAATATATGTATAATTTAGACAATAAAAGGACATATATGTCCCCTAACCGGAATCAAAATTAGTCAAACGTGATTCTGAGACAGATATATAAGAAAAGTACAAGTTATCTGAAATTGTTATACATAAACAGTAACAAATAACACAACAAGAACATCACAATAAGCAAATGAAACAGAATGGTTAAATAGGACTAACGAAACATTGCCATATGTTCCGCCTGTAAGGTAAACCGACCGCACGAGATCATATGACTAAGACTAATGAAAGGTAAACGAATGAGAGAACGTATATAGAAAAAACTTAATAGAAATGTCTATTTACATGTCTGCACATATTAACGCCAACGATACGATTACGACAGCAACAAATATAAAGATGAATACTAGTCGTTTCACAACACAATATCGTTATCCTGAACAATTATATCTCAGAATTCCTATCAGCTTCAATTTAATCAGATTTAATTAATTCAGATTATTCATAATAATTATTATTCCTATGAATAATAAATTATTCATAATTAATTCAGTATAAATTAATCAGATTGCAACTAATCAGGATTTCAATTAGCCGTATTTTGCTGGATCACTCCAACAACCCTGCCGACTATCAGCCGTGTGACAGCGCGGTCTAGAGTAAATGCAGAGTCACTTGATAAGACAACAGACATCATTGCTAAAATAACTAGTTCGGTTTCAAGTGTAACTCCCAGGCTGTGGGTGGCGGGGCGAAATTGGCAATGCAATTTCAATAGAGAAAATCGGTCAGAACGTTCTAAGAAATTTTGATTTACTAATGTACCCAATCTGGTCCAACTATTACCACGGGAACATTTATTGTGGCGTTAAACATATGCAATGCTGATGCCGTATCGCTATATCCCATAGTCTACATCAATTTCTAGCCAATCGTTTTAATGTTGTGATCAAGGGCGCGATCAGTCGTATTGCGCTTCGTATGTATACACTTCACGTGATTATGCTGCTCCATCAAAACGAAATCCACCAGTTGGCCATTGCCGCTGCTTTATCATTTTCGCCGAACCGAAGTTCGAAATTTCCACTTCTCCTGTTGACTGCGCCACATTCTGCATCCTCATCATCCTAAAAGAAAGCACAAATAAAAGAAAAACATAATCTCACTGCTTGTATTTGCAAACCCCCACACCGACGAGTCTCCATACCACCACACCTCCTCTTGGCTGATGCCTGCACGACAATTAGCGATCACAGAGCACTGTCCAAACAGGTTTCAAGCATGAACAGAAGGGCGAATATATGCAACAAAAAGAGTGAAATTACGTGTGGACAAACGCTAATGATTAAAATTTACTGCACTATCTATATAAATCACGATCCCCGTTTCACACTGCCAAACCAACACGATTAAAAAAAGTTATTGAAAAAACTCGGCCCAACGCGCCGACGGTGGCCGCCGCACTCACTCCGCGCTGTAAGAACTTTTCGCATGAGGTCGACGGACCGCCTGCGAGACGTTCCTTCGCTCTCCGTGACAGTCTGCCCAGCTGCTCGATCTTATCCAGCCCCCCGCACTCACTGCCACATTAGCCGCATCGCCGCCTCCAGCTGTTCCCCATCGTGTCGCCTCACGCCTAGAACGAAACCTGTGCCGCAGCGCTGAGAAAT